ACAAGAACTCAATATTCAATAATACCAAATCAAAAAACATCAAAATAAAGTAGGTATTTCGAATCAAACTCATTGATTGTCTGGAGATTTTCTTGTCCAAAATAAGTGTTTTAAGTTGGCTTTGAAACCAAACGTATGTTTGACATTAAGTACGTGACATATTTGCTAAATATTCATTACGTAGTTATTGTTATTGCTTATTTTATTAACGTTTGATAAAAAGTACTATTTAAATAATATCAAGATGCTTACGGAAGAAGAAAAAGTTACAGACATTTTTAATGCCAGGCATCCTAATCGCAATGTAAATCACACTACAGTTACCCGTATTTCAAAAAAATTTAAATAAACAGACAGTATTAATAACCATTTCAATAAACCTCACACAACTGCAAAAGTATCCAGAGAAGTGGAAGAGGAAGTGTGTTTAAGTGTTATCAAAAATGGTAAGACATCAATTAAACAAATATCAACATCTCTTGATGTACCTATTACTACCGTACAAAACATTTAAAGAAGAAATAAATTTAAAGCTTTCAAACCAAAACTTATAAATACCCTAAAAGAAAGGGATTTCATTTCAAGATTTGAGTTTTCCGCATGGTATCAGGTTTCCAATAAATATTTTATGACTAATATTCCATTATAACTAATGGAACAGTAATTTCACAGAACTGTACATGGTGGGCTTTAGAAAACCCTCATTTCACTAAAGAGTGCAAATACCAATACTTATTTAAGGCAAATGTCTTATGTGGACTATTAAACAATATGTGATTGGTCCCTTCTTCATTGATAGAAACCTCAAAATCCAGCGGAGTCAAGTCCGGTGATATTGGCGGCCACTCAATGTTAGGACTATTTTGACCTATTCATCGATTTCCATAATCATCATTCAGCCATTCTCTCACAATAACTGCATTATGTACAGAAGACCCATCTGATTGAAACTTCAAATTCAGGCGATCCTGCACTGGTAAGTTATGTATTGCTTCCCAATACTCATTTCTTAAAAAGTCTAAAACTATAATTCCATTCAGATTACTCTCAAAGAAAAACGGATCAATAATCTCAACATGGATTATTCCCACCACACATTTATTTTATAGGAATATTGCCTTTTTGCGTTCATAGTCCAATTAGGATTATCCACAGATCAGTACCTTGAATTTTGGGACGAGACTACTCCATTTGTGGTATGTGTAGCTTTTTCATCACTGAACAAACTTGTTTTGAAGAAGTTTAAACAATCATTCAAATATTCTCCTTGAGCCCACAAACAGAATTCTAACCTTCTTTCTTCATCTCCCAGTTCCAGAGTGTGTGGCTTGAATGGTTCGATTTCATTTTTTACAAGGCATCCCCTGTTATTTTCTCCAGGAATATTTAAGATGAAACAAGACGTTCGCAAGCATTAATGAGTATTATCACGACAATATTGCAATATTCGCACACCATTTCTATTCTCACGATGTGGATTGTATTTGTTTTTGAGCATATGCCTCGATACATCACCTGTTTCGTTAAAAACAGAATTGATACGGTTCACCGTACTGCTGCTTACTGGAAGTTTATCGGGATGTCTATTATGGAATTATCTGGCAGCTTCTCTTGCCGAGGACCATTATATCTCTGACAAGGTTCATAAGTTCAATTTTATCTCACACATATAGCTCTTCCATGGTAAATCACAAATTTTTACCGCTTTACAAATTATTTTTCCTACTAATCGGGCGTAATCCGACGTTACTGTTTCAATACAGTTTTTGACAGCATTAATAATTGACAATAGTCTTTTGTTTCCAGTGCCAAATGAAAAGAGCGCGATTTTGCATATCCGCACGGTGTTTCACGGCCAACTCACCAAAATTCAAAAACCATTTAATAGGTGTGCAGTTAACGTTCTAACATGATACAATGTGAATGTTGATTCGATCACTGAATTATTAATATTGAATATTTGTTAATGAATTTGATATACCATCATTAGAAAGGGTGCCTAGTCCAATGGTAATTTTAAATTTTTCCTAAACAAAGGCTAATACGATTTCTTGTATTTCAACTTATAAAAATAGTCGCAGCGGGCACTGGTTTTTGTAGAAAACAAATGATTTTTTGCCCTAGAGTACAGTTTTTCGAGCTCTAAAATTCAAGATAAAGTTCGTCGAAATCGGAGAAAAGGTGCAAATTTCAGAGAGGTGTTCTCCTTTTTTAGCGGAAGATCTTTCCCTACTTGCCATCTGAAACAACCACCAAAATATTTCAACATTTTTTTGACAATCAGATTTCTCACTGTAATATATTGGTTAATAACATTATATTATGATGAACTACATACCTTATGCAATTTATTTTCACGTTAGATTACAAATTATTACGAAAGAATGCAAATTTTTCATGATAAGTACTCACCCGTGAAGAAAATTATAATTCCCATAGATAGAAAATCTGGATAGGTGGCTAAAAATCGAACATTGATTGGCATCCACTCCGCAAATGTTTTTTCGACTTTCTTATCTAGCATGGAATCGATATGTTTGCTGATTGCACTTGCTGCACTTGCTGCACCTGATGACAAAGGGTTTTTATCAAGTATCCTAGCAAGTTGGGGATATCTTCAAAACATTTTTCAACTTGTGTTATTGATAACATGGGTTATTAATATGGGATCGTTCAAAATTTGTTCGGTTTTCATTGGGTGAATGTAATGCAATACAAAAAGTAATTTAATAGTGTCCTCCTGAAAGCGTTTATGCAAAACAGTTGTGGTCCCTAGCCGCTTGTGTATTTTTTAAATCTCATCAGCGGCCAAACTACCTACATTTCATAGTAAATATTAGTATAGCAGTTTGAATTTCAGTTCTTCAATTCTTGGCCTACAAAAGAAAATGTTGCACACTCGACTAGGCTGTAAATTTAGGAAGTTTGTTTCAAATATAAATTTATTGCATCTGGGGCACCTGGAAATATAATCAGTGCTAGCCACAAATATTGATACGCCCAATTTTGCTTCACGCAGTAGACGTAGATATTTCCTTTGTTTATAATTATTTTAAAAAGCAATAATTAGGGGACTGTTTCTTGTTGTGGTAAGTATACAAAGATCTCATAACTCACATTTTCTAACCAACACAATTGACTAGACTCATAACTCTCTACTTTCATGGCCAATCAGATGAAAGCAAATTCATAACTTTACAGTCGTGTTTCAATTATTTTCAATGGCAAGTAAACCTTGAAAATTTATCTAATTCAAAATATATTCTCAAACGTCATGCTTAATATTCGAACTCATAATTCATTTCGAAATATATAGTTTCTAACGAAAAACAAGAATAAAAACATGGGCACAAGGAGTGAAGACCACCAGAAATTCGTAATGTGACAAAGAAATTAATATTGTTTGTTAGTTAATCACTTAATGACAAATTCAGAATAGTTGTTTTATGTCGCACAAAGGACTCAGCAAAATCCTTGTGGAATTTGGGTCTCTTTGGATTTTTTGTAATTCTCAACCAATGTTACCATTAGGCCAACCCCAAAACATGAATAGTATTGCCGCTAGGGGTTGTTCTCAGAATAGACTATCGGGGAAGACATTTTCACCTGTTTCATTGTAGATAATGTTGCACATGATTATGCTCTTTTGTGAAAAAAATTCCTAATCACCCCTCTTCCCCCACCACCTATTATGAAACGCAAAAAAATATTCTGGTATTCTCTTTGTACATCTCAGATTTTCATTCATTCGTCAAATACTGCCGCATACACCACTACGCGGACGATACCCAGCTGTACTTATCTTTCAATGAAGTGAAACCTGATGTTACCGCTGCTTTAAATTCGGATCTGGGTTCTTTGATAAATGTATGTGCAGCACATAATCTGAAGTTGAACGCGAGTAAGTCCAGTGCATTGCTTTTCAGACCGAAGCTCAAAAGTAATCTAGCCAGTACCATCGACATTGTTTTGGGTGGGGAAAAATTCCCATCAAAAATGAAACAATAAACCTCGGATTCTGGTTAGACAATGAATTGAGGTTCACAAAACATGTCAATCAACTTTGCCGAGGTTTATATAATACACTCAAACAACTTTATCCAAGTAGACAATTCAGAGTTCCGCACTAAAAATTCATGTTTGTGAATCCCTCATATTATCGAAACTGGCTTACTGTGACTACATTTATGGACCCGCACTTCTGAGTGTTGGCAGAAGTCAACTTCAAAAAATACAGTGACTCTTGTATTAGACTTTCCTTCGCAATACGCAAATATGAGCACGTAAGTCATAAATATCGGGAAATGCGAAAACTGAATTTGCTATATATGAGAAAATTACATCTAATAAATATGACTCATAGAGTACTGAAATATAACACACCAACATATTTATATGACAAAGTAATCAAAATAGGGAATCTGATTGATTATAACACTCGTAACTCGGGGTTACTGGCAATGTACAAACATAAAACCTCTATTTTTCAGCGATCCTTCACGTACAATGCCTATAATCAACTTCCGCATGATTACAGTACATGTACTCTGATAAACTTCAAAAAAAAAGTTGAAATCCCTATTATTAGCTCAATATGATTAACAAATGTCGAACTCTGCATCTACAGAACGGATAATGACCAGTCAATCACTTTATGAATTTGATGTACTAATTAATTTCATAGATCTCAGGCAGCAAAATTATTCTACAATGTAATAGAATTATACTCATCGTAGATATTATAGTTAAGATAATTAGAAAATTGTAAATTAATATTGTATTTCCACAGTTAAGTTGAAAAACACCCTCGGGTGACACTTCGCCATTTTATCTTTGTTGAATACCTTTTATTGTTATCTCTTCACATGTGTGTTCAGAGATGAATAAAGACGATGTATTACTTTTTTTCCACCGAAGTGTGCGCTGGTCGTACCCTATCCCCCGAAGCTCCGATACTTTCGGGTGGGCGCGCCAGCATTTTCAACCAATGACTACTCCCCACACCGTGGGGTTAGTGATCATTGAGTCCGAGAATCATGTGCCCTGAGCAAGCGCAGTGAGCCAAGAATGACATCCTTCTGCATCTGTGCGGCTAAGATTTCTGTCTTAGTGCGGCAAGCCGGTATGATTTTAAAATTTGAGAGTAGAAAGGATATCATTCCACCAAGGACTCCAATAATCAGAACAACCATCTTGATAGAGTGATCTGGATAGAGTCTGCGGAGTTCGAAGAGAAAATCTCGATATTTTATCCGTTTTTCCTCCTCTTTACTGACGATATTAGTCTCGCCAGGAGCAAATAACTCCACGACAAATATCGTTTTACTCTGGTGGTCGAGAAGGACTACATCAGGCTTATTAGCTTGCATGAGCCTGAAGGAAGGGAACGAATAGTTTCAATAAATTTGGCACTTCTCGTTCCCCACAACGGATTCAATAACCCCCTGGAGCGTATTAGGGCAACACCGGTATATAATCAATACCGTAAGAGTGCCGTAGATGGTAATCTCGGGCGCCACGCGGCATGCCCTGCCCCTTGTGTGAGGAACCTTTATACCCATCACGCGACTGCGGTAGACTAAGGTATTCAAGACACCATCCTGGCAAGCCATGATGAATCCCTCATTTTCCGACTTCAGCCCACTCGACCTGAGAAAATCCAACGTCAGGCGCTTTGATAAGCCAAGGTCTCCAATGTTATTGAAGAAGACCCCATGCATTGGCTTATCCTTGTGTTTCCGCAGGAGTAAGGCGATCTCTGCGGCTTTTATCTGAGCTTTTTGCTGAATGGGTTCCAACTCGGTGACAGAGTTGTGGTCACCTCGTTCAGTGTCGAAAACTATATCGAGTTCATCAGCTGCTCGGGCAGCTGCCCTGAAGAGAAATGCTCCAATGCCTGCTCTCTCATTGTCACGGACCATGAAGAGAAGGGGATCCGAACTCCTGACGACTTTACAGGCTGTATCCAATACCATTCTGTCATGTAGACACTCCAAACTCAAAAGTCCATGGCCTTCTTGTTATCGGGGGAAGTACAACCGTAGACGATTTGGGATTCAAACTCCTATAGAGATGCGTCATTTTTCGGGTATTTACAGCTCCTCCCGAGTCCACTTCACTTCTCCAAACGTGTAGAGTAATTGGAACGGCAAGCATATTTGTTGCAGCAACTTTGTTCTTCCCTGATAGTTCCGATGACCAGATCTGTCAAAGTTTGTGCTGATACTTTCCGCGGAGAGAGTTTTTCACTGCTGTTGCCTCTTGTGAGTGGCGTTGTTCCATCCCGAGGTAAGTATACGTCTCTCCGGCATTCAAAGTGGTATCAGTTGTTCAATGCATCTCACTATTTTGTTGAGTACCGTAAGGCATCTGAGCAAATGCAAGATGAGCTCATGCGAAATTGTGTCAAATGCCTTACGGTAATCGATCCAGGCCATAGAGAGGTTACGCTTATATTGTATCGCGTCCTGCATTACACATCTATCGATGAGCAGGTTCTCTTAACATCCAGCGACTCCTCTCTTCGACCCACTCAGCACATATATCCGTTTGAACACTCGGTCAACTGTTCATAGATATCCTTCCAGAAGGATTCCACCTGATCAGCGGTCGGTGGATTATTCACAATACGTGAAGGCTCTTGGAATAAGCGAGAAGGTTTCTCACGGAACCTAAAGTTTTCCGCGATACTTCTCGCTCGCCTCACTAGTGACTTCAGCCACTAGCATTCGTATCCTATCAAGGCAGTGCTGTTTGGTGGTCAGCAGCACGCCTTGACTAAAAGTGTGATGGATACTTTGTAGATTGGCGGCTATTCGCCGCACTGTGGGCGTGAAGGACCTGTTGGCCGTCCTGTAATTCATCACACATTGGATACGCGACGCGTGTTGTCTCGCCGACGTGATCTTAGCCTATATTTTGTGTAAACGCCGTTCAATCTTCCGAACCGCAAGGCCTTCCGATTCGGAAAGCGATTGGACGACGCTATACACGGCGGTGTTGATTTCTCAGATGTCAGCCTCTTCTGTTAGAACACTATGAACCTCCTTAACCAAACAAGCCAGTCCTTGTGGCTTCTGGGGCCTAATTCTGTGGAGCGCCCTGCGTGTTCTGATTGACTACATTGGTGGCGTAATGCGAGTCTCCTCTCCAGCCGTGCCAACGAGTGGTTGAACTGTCACTTCTACCACTTCGTCAGAAGACTGGGGAGGAGCTATATAGCCCTGTCGCCAAAGATAGGATACGTAATCCCTAAGATTTTGGGCGGAAAAGACGGTATGCCCGGAATGTGTTTCACACCACAAAGCATGAAATCTCGCCATGTACCCTCTTCGTGCGTAGCATAAGGCTATTTCTCAGCTCATGCGTCCACTCAAAGCGTCCGTTGTCATTGCCAGTGTTGTCATCGGTAGGCAAATCATCGTTATGGGCCCCACCATCTTGCCGGCACCGGAGGGAGAATAGTGTTCTCCTTCCCGTATGCGCCTGGGCTGCCGGTCCGGTTTTGCACCAGTTGCTCGGGTAAGTGGTGGCGCAACTCACCAATGGCCAAGGGTGTTAGTGACCAT